CAACTAGAAGATTGCCTAGAGAAGGCTGTTGTTCTGACCAATGTTAGATGATATTGCTACCTGGCATCACCATCACAGAATGCTTATCAAGTATGAACTTGAAGAGTGAGCTTACCCATGGCTGCATGTTGAGCGTATGCTGAGCCAGGCAGAGCGAGGCAGCAGCGATGGTGGAGGGGATGTACTTCAGGAAAGTCTCTCCCTCCTGTAGAGTCAGCTCTGCCAGGTACTACAGGGAGGAAAAATAAAATTAGTTATATCTGGTTACTTCTTGGTACTATTTGGATCCATGCAAAAACAGCCACACATAAGATAAACCCATCAAGAAAAATATCTATGGACTTTCATTGCAACAGGCCTTGAACCTAAATGTCACTTGAACCCTTGTAAGTACTTTTGATGTGAAAACATTCATCTCCAACCAACTTACTATGACCAGGAAAGTGAAGAAAACTTACCATGGCCAGGCTTTCTGTCTTGGAGTTGACCTTTGCAGCCTGGAGGAACCTCTTCTGGAAACAGTTGATGGTTGGCACGGCAACGTCAAAGGACAGGACCTTCAGGATCAGGTGCTCCATCCTCAGAACCTGTGGCAGCGGAAACAAAATGTTGTTGTCAATCAACCAATAACATTTCTCTGCTAAGGTTTTCACAAATTTTACTTTTAGTACAAGTACGCTTATCATTATCAGTAAAATTATAAGTACTGGTTCATCTTTTTGCTTACCTGTTTCTTTGTGTAGGTGTCGTCAGTGATGTACACAAACTCTCCAACATCTGGGGGGTAGATTTCTTCATACTTCCTGTTGGTAGAAAATAGGAGAATATGAATTCAAGCACAAATGTGGACTCCAGGAGACAGTAACAGATCAAAGCAAAAGAGTCCCTAGCATTACTTATCCTACTGAAGAACCTGTATGCTGCTTAGTCAGGTGTTACTGACTGGCAAGTGAGAAGTGTCAGAGTGCAAACTTACGATGCGAGGAACATGGCTGCTGTCCCAACCAGCTGCAGCTTGCTGCGCAGGACAGACATGGAGGACAGGAAGCGGTCGATGTACGACACGGCCAGGTACAGCGTCTCGTTGTGCAGCTTGTACTCCTCAGCGACCTCCACCAGCCAGTCCACCAGGATACATCGCATGGAGTTGGTGATGTCAGGCTGCTTCTTCATGTAGCCAGGCTTGGGTCTATGCCTTAGCTGGAAAGTTAGAAAGCAAGTTAAAACTCGTCCTGACAGGCAAAACTGGTGCCAATAGCTGTCTTTGTTAGGAGATCAATTAAACTTTAAAAGCTTTGGAATTATAGAAAAATGCTTCTGTTTCTGGAATACTACATGCTTCATGGCCAAAATTAATTTGTTCAATATTCCTAGGGTAAACAATAGGATGCATTGTGTACGAAGAAAACCTGACAAACTTAGTGAGATACACATGAAAATCTATATGCAGTAAGCCATTCTAAAACAGGCAACAAGGTTTCAGAATTGTTGAAGCGTACCTCAGCTTCCCGGAGATACTGAAAGATTTCTGTTGCGTATTCAGCAACCTCCAACACACTGTCTCCATGGGCATCAATGTCCTCTATTACTGACTGATTGTCATCTGATGAGTCCAATGAGGTGTCCAACACCATAGGAGAATCTGTAGGGAAAAATTCAATAGAATTTCTTACTAATAACTTACACAAGCGTTCAACTACAACAAATACCCTCCTGGAAAAATTGAAATTGTAATTTGTGAACTTACAGAGAGCAACTGTTGCCAAAAGTTCCCACAATGCAGAATATTCTTCCATACTCTCTGCCACCAGGAGTGGTGCTTTTGGGGCCATTTTCCCACGCTTTGTATCACAAACTTTGAGCACTAGTAAATGATATTCAGCTATACAATTTCTCCTATTTATTACATCATTTGTGGCAAGTTTGTACAAGTTTATCCAAATACCAGAAAACATGTTTTTATACAAACAAAAACATCCTATGACAAAACATGCCTAAACATGCAAATATGACAAGATTATCCCGAGAGAAGAATAGATGCCCCAGTGCAAAGTGGGAAAAAGCCATACCAAACAAGCTGTTCACTCGAAAACAAAAACTGTTGCTATGTTTAGTTCCTGTAGTCTGAGCTGGATGATTTGCATCTAAATGTTACAAGCGGGACATTGAACCAGGTGAGAAATGAAGATTGAGGGAAATTTGCATGTGTTTGAAATTGACTGGAAACGACAGCTGCGAAACGATTTTTCATGATTGTCGTTTTTAACGGTCGAAAGGAAGGCAATGCATCCTAAACTATGGTTTCTTTTCCGGACTAATTTGAAACGGAAAATATAAACTGCAACTCTACTGGCGCCTCCTTACAAAAGAAGGTGTGGCAAGAAACATTCCATTTCTGTCACGGATGTTACAATTTTAAAACTTGCCCGCTGGCGTTTTTACTATCACAAATTTAATTGCTTTAAAAATAGCAATCCCAACTTTTACGCATGAAATTATAATTCATAGATTTAAATCGCACAGAGCAAGGCCATTGATAGCTGGGTAAACGGAATTTTTTAAATTTCTGAAATGCGAGCTTATGACAACAAAAGACGTGGGAGTTGTTTACCTGTGCTGCTATCGATAATTTCTTCCGTTCGGCCATAGATGCTGATGGCTTGCCTATTCCTCTCAGTGCCAAGAGTTGTGACTGTGGAGGAAACCTGAGGTTCTTTCGACCGCTCTGAATCTGCCTGATGGTCGACATGGATGGAGAACTGGGTAGAAGCGGCGGGCGGGACAAAGAACCCAGTGGTGGGCTTTCCCGCCTGGCCACAACCGACACTCCCGGTCTGGCCGCACGCTGAAGTCCCTAAAGGACCGCAGTTCTGCAAACATGTAAAGACCAATGTTTAGGACAATACTCAAACTAACGATATGCATTTAAATGGAACTATAAGTGATTCACAAAAGGAGATACTAGCTAAAGTTGTGCAGGTAGTCTGACAGGAAAATTTGAAATAATTTTCAAGATGGCTGACCTGTTTTGCAGCGCGGTGCGGTTGGACTCGTTGTCGGCCGGCATTTTGGTTGAGAACTCCAAGAGCCACGCGCTTGGTGGCCTGGGGAGCGATAGGCCGGCTTTGGTTGTCTTCCCTCTTCAATCTCCTGGCGTTGGCTTGTCTGTTTTCCTCTCCAAGCGTGGTCGAAAAGCTACCGAGTGCCTGTGACATGATGAGAGTGGCTTGCAGGTTTCGAATGAAAACTGGAGTGTAGTCGTGGACCAACGGCTGACGTTCCCTCCAAAACTCGGCACGAAAGAACAAATTTTGCCGAACAAATAATTCTGTAACCACGAGGACAAACTCACAGCAAGCTCGGTGAGCAAAATGGACTAAAATGCACCGGTAGGAACGAGAGCAATGAGCGAGAAGCGTATGAAGTCGAGATGGTAGCGTCTTCTGGTGCCGCTTCTGCTAACCGACCTCCTGTTTCAGGGGTTCAAGTAACCCGCGACGCGGTGTATTGACCAATCAGAGCGCGCTATTCAAGTCAGCTGGTCAGGCGGGGCCGATCAGCTGGTGAATTAATGAGGCCCGGTGGCGTGGGTCTGACATGTGCACTAGACAATGGAGGGAATTCTTCCTTTGTTATAAACAATGTGGAAGACAACTGTCGTACACCTTGCTCACTTTTGCAAATTAAAATTTAGATGGAGTTTGAGAAGCCATGGAATGGATGATTTGGACTTGCAACAATGATTCAACCATTTGCTCTTTTTCAGTCACCACATAAATTTTAACCTCCTTGCTTATAATCAAAATTGTTTAAAAATCATGTGCCTTTATTCAATGTTATTGCTATGAGCCTAATGGAAAATTAGTTTAAAAATTATCCAGTTGCTTTGCATCTGACATGATTGTTGCAGGTGATGCACATCTAGCACAGGTGTATACATGCACCACAGGTGAATTTTTACACAGGTGTATTATTATTATTAGGTGTATCAGCAAGGAGAGTGGAATATCATTAGCTTGAAAATGATGACTAGTATGACAATCAGTGTGACATGAATTCCTATGCTTCCTGTTACAAGGAACTTCAAGGTATTAGTGTCTTATTTTTATTGGCAGACCTGTATTGTTACTTAGTTGACGACTATACATGTGTAACATTATTGAGTAGGAAAAACATGAGTAACTTTCATTTTAGAACAATGCCTTTCCTCCATATTTACTATTCTATCTAACGTTACTGCTTGTAGTTATCATAAAATTCCTAAATCAGATCTAAAAATTGGGTGAAAGTTAATTTTGCACCTCTCACCCTAAACTTTGGTACTTACCATCACAATGGAGAAAACATCCCCATAGAAACAGGGTTTCCTTGTCTGTTCTGCCATGGAGGTAATGCTGCCTCAACTGTTCAATTTTGAGTTGTCTGACTTGAACCTTTATTGTTCCCTTTTCATGTGCTCCCACCTTTCAGACAATGCTGCCTTTCACAGGTTTGGGCGAAGTAAACAGTATTTTTCTTGCAACAATGATCTGTATATGCAACCACATAATGCCAACTTTTGACAGGACCAGTGATGTTTTCATGGAATGTTTGAATTTCCCATAGAGAAGCCACAACATATAACTGCTTGGTTTTGTAAAGCTTGTCATGTGGGTATGATAACAAGTCACTTTTACTTACCTATGGCTCAACAATGTACATGTACATGTGTATATTAGTGTTCTGCTAAAGATCTTTTAGTGAATCATTGGCAATTTTATAGAATAGATTCCCAAATGTTTACCTATGCTCAAATATGAAGACAAAGGAACAGGGGTAAAATAATGCCAAACTGCATTTATTGGTTAAAAATAGTTACGTGTACATACAAAATAATACAATAAAATATGATGTATTTGTATTATTGTATTAGGTATATCTTATTTAGAAAATGTATGCACATAAGCCATGTAGCACTTGGCAAGTACATTAGTTGTTGCCTTGAATATGTTAAAAATCTAGAAATCGTTGTTGTAGTCTGTAGCTTAAAGTTGTTAGCACCAAACCTTAAAATGTGCACTACAGTTGTAAAGGTAGCCGCAACATTTGTATGTTGATGTAGATGATAACTGACCAGGTGAGGTCACAGTGATTTCATTAATGGGTTTTGGAAGTGATCCAGTTGTGAACCTGTTGTAAACCATTTCACCACAAGTGATGAGCAATAGAAAACATAAGAAAACCAATGGCAATGCTAGCACATTACTACCTGTAGTACAATTTAGAAGGTATATAATGCAGGCATGTGGAAATCAAACACTATAACAAAATAAATGTTGGCACTTGTAAAATCATATGGCTAGTTCTTTAGACTTTTGCAAGGACATTGTACTATGCCCTTTGACTTTGCAAATGTTACTGCACTGACTCTCATTGTTTTGTATTCACTGTTACTCCTATCATTCATGGACTTTTGCTTTGAAACATTTCTGTTTTAGTCCACCTTGAAATAGTCACAGCTCGATCAGATTGACTATCCTTTTAACCAGACAAGATTCAGACTTTGAATGTCACTATGACTACAAAGACATGATTCCAAGGCACTTTTTAAATTGTCTTTTCCCCTTTTCAGCTCCTCTGCTACAACAGCTTTCTGTTAACAATTTTTTTAAGCACTTAAATGCTACAGGCAAGGGTTTATGTTTTCATTGACAGTGTGGCAGCCTTGCCCCGGCCTTGTTATCGGGACACGGAAGAGTTTCCCCGACGGCGTGCACACACATATCTTGTAGGTGGTGGTACCTCGGTCGATAACTGACAGGGGATCTGGACTGTTACGTGGCAGTCGTGTGTTGTTGATGAAGAGTCCCCCACCGGCTTTCACGAAGGCACTGCCTCTTACAACAGATTCATTCTGTTAAGGGAAGATTATAAAGATATTGTGGTCATGCTAAATATAAAATACAAGAATCAGACAGTAATACTAAAAATGCACATTCATGTACCATCCACATCAGTGAATAAGTACTTAAAAATTTCTATTTCAACAGGAAACTGGATTTCCTACCTAACTCTGCTTGAATTCTTAAAATCAGTTTTGGCTTTTTTAATCTCAGGTAACAGACATAAACTGATGCCCTGACTTATACCATATCCTTCACTTCTACATTTATCGAAAAGCCCATGATATTCAAAACAGTCCTTACTCGTAGGGTTTGAAGCATGAAGTCGTCTCTGAAGTTGAAGTTCACCGTCCTGCCCAGGATGTTGACCCCTTCATTGCCGCGGAAGATGGCGTTCTTTGCCGTGCTCACACGTAGGTCACTGTTGAGTGGACTGGCCACCTGCCAACACATGCAGGCAGCATGTATGAGTAATCGTGCATTCATATCTGCAGTGTTTAATGTGCTGTAAGCAAATGAGAATGTGTACTTCCCCCCAAAAATGCAGTAGACTGACTAGGTTAAAAAAAATGTGGGTGAAGTCTTTACCGCCTTGGCCTAAGGAAGAAGTGAGCAAATTTAGAAAAAGATTTTTCTACAGTCCAACATGTGGCATTCTCAGAGTAGGTTTCCTCCAAAGTGCAGATTACAAGCATGTAAATACTTGTAGTATGAGGGACAACTATGCTGCCATGGCAGAGGTCTGTGGAGTGTCTTGTACCATCAAGTTATAAGATGTTTGTTACTATGTCATGATGCATTTCTCAAACTTCCAAACTACATACCCCTGGTACTTCAGAAATTTGCTAAATGTTGACAGAATGCTTAAGTTGCTTGATAAATTCAGCCAATGTCTTACCCTAAATGTCTGTGCCCTCCTGACGTTCAGATTGTCCACCCCATCCGGCATCTTGAATTCATGGTTGTCATAGTCAGTGGTGAAGATAGTCTGGTTGGTCTTGGGGTCAACAATGTCAAGGCCATGATCTCCTTTGATGGTCGTCTTACCTGGTTCCACTTGAACTACACAAGACATAGAAACATTGACTCTCTATTCTCATGTTTTAATACTAGTAGTAGTACATGTACCCGGTACTAGACAAATGTTCAAACTATGTAAAATATACAAAATGTACGTTAAGAAACATGTATGGATCAAATCATTACCTCATATTCATAAACAAAACTCACCTGAACCTCCTCTGATCTGATCTGTGATCTTGTTCTGGGCTACAACCTATAGAAGACAGACAGCACCATGTTTGAGTCATTTGCTGTTAACTGTCTGGATTGCACGGAATGCAACATACTGTGACCTCAAGCTCAAGTTTAGACATTAGTGCTACAGAGTAATAGAGGCTCCAGGCCATCATATTACATTACAACTACTGTACAGGAGGGATGTGGAGGGATGAACTGCATGGACTAAAAATGTGACAAACATCTATACTAGGAACTGCATGGACTAAAAATGTGACAAACTTCTATACTAGTGAAAGACTTCTGCATCCACATTCTCTTAGTACTAGTACTCACTGGTTGGGTGTTTCCTGTAAGTTCAAAGTCCTGGTTCCCAAAGCCACCAATCTTACTGTCCAGGGGCCTGACGTTGCCCATGTCACCTCCATACTTGAACCTGAGGGTTCCATCGTCCATGAAGTCCAGGGTCTCCATGCCATTGTGGTCGATCACCAGGACATGGAGGAGCAACACGGTCAGCTGAAATTAACACATTTCCCCATTTTTTATTTATTTCATATTGGAATGTATGTATGACACTACCACTCACTCTGCGGTACAATCAATAGTTAGACTTTAATATAGGAAATGACCAGATCTTATAACACCATAAACACCTTCAAGTTCATTCATTAACCATTAATTAATGGCATATTCTAACATATCTGTACTATAAATACTCATGCTGTAACGTTCAATGTACATAGAAATATGTTTACTCACAATAAAGTTGATGATAACCAGGATGAAGAGGATGACAATAAGGATGATCCCCAGCGTGAGTTTCCTGCCCCTGATGCCAGTCTTGTGCAGCCTGTCCTCGTCTATGGGGACGTACCCGGCCCTGAAGTTACTGTTGTGCTCCTTGTTGACACGTTTGCGCTCCATGGACTTCTGCCGCATGGACAGTCGGCTGCCCCCGCCTCTGTGGAAACTGCCACCCTCAGACTGTTGTCAGGAAAGAGGGGAAAAACTGATCATGAAGTTGCTAATTTACAATACTAGTCAATGCAATAAATAATACTACCAGTAAATGCTGGGCTTGGCATTTGAGTTTAAAACCATTAAAAAAACACTACATACAATATCATAATGCCATCATGTGCAAAAACTATTACTGGTACAGACTCTTCTTCCTCCCTGGTACCATCAGAGAATAGAATGAACTAACAAATTTTAATTTGTACCGATCACCAGTACTGCAAATGCTACCAGTAGTACATGTAATCCAATTTTTTATTTTTATGGGGTTCAGCAGTATGGCAGAAGAAGACGGTTAAGAAGGAAGTCACGTGTTTGGTGCTGGGGTCACCATGTAAACTTTCTGCATGAACTTCATGTGTGGAAGAAATCATGTATGGACCAGGTCATCTACTTTGACAGTGATTTGACAGCTGACATCACAATGATTGACAGGACACACGCAGCCCCTTTAAATCTTTGATGGAATGGTAAATGTCAGCTGTAGACTTCGACAAGTCTTGATTTTGTGGTCATCGACAAGTCATCTGGCCACTTTCCAAGACCATACTTGTCAGTAGAGAGAGTTCTGATCTGTCAAAATTACTCTCAGTTCACTGCACACTGTAAATAATTCGTAGGAATTCCCTTGTTTACACGCGACGTGTTGCACACATGGACATATATAGAAATTCCCGACGGCTTTAATAAGTTTTCCCTATCTTGACTCCTTATCACATGCCCACAGGCCCGCCCTAAAGTCCCAGATGTGTAACACATTATTCTAATCAGCTAGTTTTGATTTGTCGCGTCTGGCGTTTCATTTGTTGATAGAGTGTAGGGGACCGTTATCTCACATTCACAAGACTGTAGCACTGGAAAACGATAGCGTAACGACAAATCCGACCATTTAATCGCATCTATATATTCTTAAGCACTATCAAGACGCACCTTTATCCTCTTATGTAGTCACTGGGTGCAGAAAAATAAGGTTTTATACGGAACTACTTACCTCCATTCCCGACATTTTTCTTGCAATTATCGCACAGAACTGTGGGTAAGTGAAAGGAAATCTCGCGAGAGTGAGCGAGATGCCACGTTGGTTCTGATCTCTTTCCAAGGAAGCGAAGTTTTCTCTCCCAGATTGGCCAAATTTTGGACTATCTAGAGAAGTCGTCTTAATCAACAACGGTGGGTAAGTTTATGATAAAAGTAGCTTTCTATAGAGTAACAATGTGGCATGATTTTCTCGTACCTGGCGAAGGAAACTGTGCCTTTTGCTGAGCGCCAACCAGCTGGGGCCGGGGGA